ATCTGAGGATAGGAGAGAGTAGTTTTGATGAACTAATCATTTTCAAATGGTGAAGTTTATCCACGAGTAAAGAAGGTCAAATCTGTGGCAAGACAGAAGACAGGATATATTCCAATCTAATCTGGTGGGTCATGATAACTGTAACCTCATGAATGACTGGGTTTTCCATCTCGCTTCTTATGCTTTCACTCAAAATATTGATAGGTGGAATAGGAACTTCGGTGGTGAATTGAATTTATTGAGAAAACTTCTTCCACACCAGAGCAAAATATTGTTTCGACGCGCGTTCTGCTAACCAGGTTAGTTTCATCAAGATATCAATGAGACAAAAACTTGAAGATCTCTCAGTGTTTTCATATATATCTGAACGGATCATCACCTCACCTAATGAGAATCCCTGGAATCCCTGGAAGAATCAATTGATTCAAAATGAATAGCTGAAAATAACAATTGTAACAAGCAAAAAAACTGTAATGAAATTATAAAAAAATTGAATGCAAACAACAATTGATAATTGAACAATTGAATATAAATGAAAATTAAAAGATTTCAAGCCAAGTTTTTTCGACTGTTAGTATTCACAAGCGTCTTCGGATTATGACTGGACTTACTCCTCCGAGATCTGACTATTCATAGATCATTTGACTAATTTCATCTTTCACCACGGATGATGACTGGACTTATTCTTCCGAGATCTGACTATTCATAGATCATTCGAGTGAATTCACCTATCCCCTCTTTCCTCTCTCCGCTTTACCCACTTGGCTGGAATTGGCCATTTTCTGCTTGATTATGGGTTTCCATATGTTGCGTATCTCTACGCTAGCTTGGCTGAATGCGTTGTTGTACAACACATATGTGGTTTCTTTGGATTTCCTCCTAAACCAATGTTCCTCCCTGTTTGGTGGCCTGTTTTTCGTGAGGCTGCTACGGATGGTGTTTCCGGATCTCAAATAAGTTCTCATGTTGTATTTGGACCCAATTCTTCTCAACTTTTCAGACAATTCCCTGATATAGGAAAGTGCAAGCACTGCTTGTGACGGCTTCTCTTCCTTGCGAGTCTGTTCCACTTTGACTAAAATATATTACCCGAAGACGATTGTCGATACTTACAATCGAAACGTCGTGAAGTAACATGGCTTGAAATATTTTAACTATAATTTGTTTCTAACTGTTTTTACTGTTCATTTCAGAGTTTTTTTCGCCTAATATGATTGTTTTCATCAGCTTTTCATTTCAAATTTGTTGATTCTTTCAGGGATTACAAATCATTTTATATCATATTAGTCGATGAAAGTCTGAACTAATGAAATTCACCATGAAACATTGTCAACCACCTCCAAACAAACACTGAATAATAATTTCGACATATCATGTTAAATTGCTTTTTCCTGAAATCAACCATTACCGGTCGAAACACATAATTCTCACTTGTTTCCTACCTGTAGTATTGTTTCAACAATCCCAATCATTTCTCACTCATTTTGTGACCGTTCTCTGAGGCATGTTGAGCGATACTTGGGCTCTCCTGGTTTATGAAACCAAATATGTGATACATGTTCCTTGTATCGAGCTGTTATTGTCCGTTCGGTTTGACCAAGATACTTGTTATCGCAATCCTCATACTCATACCATAATTCTCAAACTTTTTGAGATACATAGCTGATACAATGAATTGTATCAGCTATGGGTTCTCCTACGCCAAATGATAAAATCAAAGACGTAAGATTGCGAGAATGATATTTTGTTATTTTCTGGCGTGTATTTTTGATTTCCAAATATTACCACACCGAAAGAGATCTAATAATTGAACCCTGAGAAGTGGTAGAAAATAGATCCACCTCACAAGAATTTGCATGGAACAGTGATTCTTCCATCAAACAAGAGAAAAGTTATATTACTTTCCACCTACTTGTATACGAGACGTGGATGATGTTTTCATCATTTTTTAGATAAATAGACGTGAGATATAAGATTTTGTGTCTATATTCAACGAAGAGATTCCCAAATGCAAAGTTCATCTTTGAAATGAAAAATATAGTTAGGCTACAATTTCTTGATGTTCTGGTTATGAAAAATACCCATAAGAGTTCAGAATTTGATATGAATAGTGAAAATACTAACACTTTCTCTGAGAACTATCACCATAGACTGGTCACATTCCTCTTAGACAAAGAATGATGTGATTTTGAGAAGTTATCAAAAAAATAGAGAAAACGCACCGGATAAATTGATAAGGAAACGAAAATCTGTGAGATTCAGTATTATATATCTCTCAATGATACTCACTTGGTGAACAAATCGCGCGTTGAGAGACAGTACTCTGTTCAAATAGAGATTGAAATTGGGCATGGAGGTTCTTAGCCTACCAGTGGCCAGAGTTTTAAACCACTCCATATATATATTGGCTATAACCGGTGAAAGTAGCGATCCCATTGGCAGTCCCTCATCTTGAAGACGTGGACAACACCTCCATAATATGGAACCATGGGAATGCAGAACTAGACACCTTCCTGAAGCATATCAACAACGTCAGTCCTTCCATCAATTTTACAATGGAGAAGAAGGTTCACAACGAATTGCCATTCTTAGATGTATTGGTGAAGAGGACCGACACTAAATGGAAAATATCTGTATATCGAAAACTCACTCACACAGGACCAGAAATCTAACCACCATCAACCGACTAAGAGAGGAATCATCAAGACTCTACTAGACCGTGCTTTCGGGCTCAGTAATACAAACGAAGGTCTCGAAAAGGAACTAGGCATCATAAAAACCACCTTCAAAGGCCACTGAAAGTTCGCATTGCTGAGCACAAGAATCACACACAGCGAGGAGAAATCAGTAAATCAGGAATAGCAGACTCATCAACATAACATCAAGTGGGCTCAAGCTGAAATCATCCACAAGGAGGAACACTGATTTAGGAGAAAATTCAAAGAAGTCGCATATATATTGTCCAACAACGCATTTAAATGATTGTCAAAAGTTATCATCTAGAATAGAATAAGTTTTCAGGAAAAGCACATGAACATGGAAATATTCACAGCTATGGTGAAATGAAAATATCTCATTTGTCTCTCGATGGAATTGAATCACTTGATTTTGGTCAGATAACAAACAGAGTTAATGAAACTGTTACCACTCCATGTGATGAAATGAAGTGTCACTTGAATGTAACCAATTCGATTTCACTACCTGATTATTTTGTATTTTTTGTTCAAGTTATTGAACACTCATGGTGTTAGGTTTAATGTTTACAATTTCCAGATATCCAGAGTTGAAGTTATAGTCTCAAATATGAATAACCTAACCTGAGTTGGCTTTCTGGTTCTTCATTATTGAACAGGAAATTAGAGAATCTCCCAAAAAAAAAGACAAAAAGTCTACAATAGAAACGCTCTATGAAGATATGTAGAGTGAAGGTAGAATATTTTTTCAAAATACAAACGGGAAGAAAAAGCCATATCCATTACAACTACTTTCATTTCCAATCAGTTCCTAATCCAAACATTCGTTGAAACAAATCACATTCATAGAAATGTTACACAATATGATATATGAAATAGTGTTGATTTGAAATTTCACTTAAAGGCAATACTGCTTGCATTATCCTCAATCATGTACTCTGTGTTACTGGGTGATTTTTTTGTTGATATCTTTTTGGCAACACTGTTTTTGACAGATCATTAGTGCATCGTGCACTCCTTACAATTCATGGGCAGTTCCATCGGCCTACTGAGGGAGTCATTCGGAAGCTTGTGACTAAATTTTGAACCCAGTTTGCATAATTGGACATTAAACCACCAACACGCATACGTAGAGTAAGGACCGAAGAAAATATTGCGGCTGTATCCGCCAGTGTTCGTGATGATCGTAAAATGTTGATTCGCCGCCGTTCGCAGCAATTGAGCCTCTGTTACTTCACTACGTGGTAAATTTTGCGGAAGGATTTGGGTGTAAAACCTCATAAGATACAGTTGCTGCAAGAATTGAAGCCACACGACCTCCCACAACGTCTAACATTTAGTGAATGGGCGCTGGCAAAGTTGGAGAAAGATCCACATTTTTATCGACGAGGCTCATTTCTGGTTGAATTGATACGGTAGCAAGCAAAATTCCCGCATTTGAAGTGAAGACCAGCCACAAGCATTGCAAGAGCTACCGATGCATCCTGAAAAAGTCACTGTTGGATTATGGATCGGTGGCATCATCGGGCTGTACTTCTTCGAAGATGACAACGGCCGGAACGTTACTGTGAATGGCGAGCGCTACCGTGTAATGATTGACGACATTTTGTTGCCCAAAATGGAAGAATTTGACATGCCTGACATGTGGTTTCAATAAAAGACAGATCAAGGCAGGAACGTCAGTCATTTCTGAAAATTTAGTGCCGAATTTTTTTTAAATATAGTATGGTAACCCAAAAAAATGTGATTATAGTCATAAACACTATTTTTGGCAATTCACTGCGAAATAAACCTTCAGCTTCATACACTAATAGCTTCAATTGTGTTCGATATTTGATGGTCTTTGAAGAAGTGGAAAATATCTGAAAAATAGAGAGTTTTTTTCCTGAATTACAGTGATATAACGTGGATCCATAGAGCTGAGTTGGCTAAATAACTATTATCTCACCACCAAAAAATCACTGAATAATTTAAAAAAAATTGGTATATTTCAATTTCCAAAATGATTTGAGGGTGTTAAAAAATCTAAACAAAATAGTCAACTCCAAACCAGAGAAACAAAAAACAATGTGTTGNATAGGTCTCTAAAATACACAACTTTGCCATAATTTAACCGACACTCTATCTCTTATCGTTTACGAGATCCCCATGTACAGAAACGAATTTGAATAGGCCTATATATATCAATCTATGATATGTTTCTCATTCATTGAAATGACTGAAGTGTGGATAATATAATCAGATTTGAATTCTGGAAAGTTTGTATCATAAAGTATTTCAGAACTTCTATTGTGATCAATTGACAAGTACTCAAGTTAATATAGAACAAATAGATTTGAAAAATTATTATCAAGATTGACATCTTTCTCTTCTCCAATATACATGTTAATCAGTAGAATATCATGAGTAAGACCGTTGCTTTTGTCGTTATCTATGTGGAATGAGTCCCTAATTACTAAATACCTTCCAGCTGATATATCGATACACTCCTTCCATCTGGCTTCTCTTTCAGTTTTTCCTGTTACTATTGTGGTATAATCCAACTGCCTCTTTCTGAGATTTTCTGTGAGGTAAGAAACAGATGAAGCAGCAGCCCGCCACATCACGTAATTTGCTTGGACCCTGAAAATTCACCACAATTTATCAAACAAAATATTCAAAATTCCACTGATTTTTTTTCTATATCTATGAAATTATTCAGTTAGTAGGAATGTTGAATAGTGCTGTTTCGAAGTAATCCATAAAGAACGCTTTCAGGATCCTTCTTGAAGTGTATGAAACTGTACTGTTTCGACAACCATCTTCAGTTCAGGTAGGTTGGAGCCTAGCTCCCTTACCTTTGCGGCTGATTTTAGTCAGAAGGACAATTGTATTCATTACTGAGAGTTGGTGGCGATAGGAAAGTCCTCAGACATCAGTACCGCCCTTCACGGTGTTTCCAGTTTCCAGGTCAGAAACGACCGAAGTTGCGACATATGCAAAAAACCTATATGTTCGCAATGTGCAAAAACAATTTGTCCAAATTATTTGTGATTTTTTTTTACACTTGATATGGGTTAACATTATATCATAGAATACTTGTTTTCATAAATGTTTGCAGAATAGTTCAGTTTTTCTGCTTATTTTTGTAACGAGTCCCAGGGACCCAGTTGTAGTGATTGAGTAACATATCTATGTGGGTAGTAGTTACGGGTTAACTGGGCCCCAGTGACTTTTTCCCTTTTTCAGACCTCAAAAAAATGCTCGCTGGAAAGGAATTTAGTGCCGATGAAGAAGTATACTGTCGAAACTGAGGCGTTTCTTCGGGATAAAAACAAATCGTACTATGAAAATGGTGTCGAAAAATTGTAAGTCCGCTATAATCGTTGTATTACCTACAAATCCAGAAAAACGGTCACTGTTATTTGATTTTTTTCTAAAGTGTTCTTCCAATCGTGGAGCACACATTGCAGAGCAGTTTCACAACTGTGTTTATTACGAAACCCTGACTGAACACATGTAAGGGCCTTATTACCTTCCAAGTGATCCACAATTTGATTGTAGACCGCTTTTTAATAAAACTGAGCTTTATCAAAAATATGTTTTTCTATGTTAGCCTACGAACTTTTCATTGAACTTACCATTGAAAATAAGTCCGGGATTGGATGGATTGCAACTTCCGTCATATAGTCGAATAGAGAGGACTGGATCCTCCGGGAGAAAGAAATATTAAGAGCAGATTGTTGTTGTTGTTTCACAGATGGATTAAAAACACTTTTCGGTTCTGGTTTTTTCAGTCGCAGACCCAGGACAGAGATATCAACCCGCCTAGGAACCTAGGCGACTGTATTTCGAGCGGAAATACACGCTATTGAATTGTGTGCGGAGATATTGGAAGAATCCAACCTCATATATATGTCAATAAAAATATTCTCGAACAGTCAAGTGGCGTTGGGAGCTCTTGGCTCCTACCAAGCAACATCTAAATTGGTAGCAAATTTCCAAAAATGACTCTCCTCGATAGAAACACTTGAGAGATTGCCTCTGGTCTGGATTCCTGGCCATACTGTCCTGGAAGGCAATGAGGTTGCCGACTCCCATTCAAAGGAGTGTGCTGCAAGCAGCTTCATTGAACCAGAACCTGTCATTGGCATCGCTTTAGGCTTTGCCAAACAAAGATTGAACACCTGGATGGCAACAAGATTTATGGAATTCTGGCAAAATTTTCCAAGATTGGCTCACTCCAAGGCGTTTATTCACCCTTCCAAACTTGATACCAAACAGTTATTGTACTACAGTAGGGGTGAATTACGATGTCTAAAAGGCCTTTTTGCAGGTTACTATCATTTGAATCATCATATGCAGAGACTTGGACTGTCGAAAGATATACTTTGTGCCTGCTCCACTGAGGACCGAATCAGTTTTTTAGATTTCGGCAGAACCGTACTTTCACCATCTGACCTGAAAGACCACTCACCATGCAAACTGATCAGCTTTGTTAAGAAGCTGGGTTTATTTGGTCGAGTGTGGATTGATATGAGCCGCAATACACCTTTGCGGGTTGTGGTGGAGGTTCGAATAGACCCACTCACTTTGGACCCAACCTAACCTAAAATTACCTAAGCTACTCATATAGTCAGTCTTTCCGACTCATGAACTCACATTTTCTGACGGTTAGGAGAAATGAAACTCATAATATAAAGAATGGAGACTTTATAGTGTCTGTAAAACCTAAATAAACGAAGTAATAGATTGTTCAATTTGGTTTTTATTCGTAAAACGATAAAATTGAGAATTTTAACGTGGAGTAGTCAAACAAACAATCTATTTTTCGAAAAAAACTTTGATGAACTTTTCAGGACTGCTTGACAAATCTCTGTTCCTATATTTGTAGAAGTTCTCAGTATCAATATGAGCGAGTTATGGCGAAAAGTTATGAAATCACCCCCTTAATCACTTGGCAAGTCAATCAGAAATATTTATTGTCACTCTCTTATTTACTTCATTCATAAACTTATGATATTCTCTAAGAGTCTGACCGGTTTGAAGTGCTTGGTTTTGAAAAAATTCAGTTTGAAAAAGAACATTTTTTTAATATCAGAAACTTATTTGTGATATTTTTTTTTTCGAAATTATTTGAAACTTTTGATGATACGATATAAATTCATCAATGTTGCAATTTTCTTCAATACGCGAAGTCAAGCAAATACTATGTTTCCATATGAATGAAGTCATGTTCATGAAATTTCTTTTTAAAACTGGACTCCTCCGAAACAAAAATTAACATTCTTTCGAAAGCGTTCATAACACACCTACTTTTGAGTTACAAGGAGTTGAGTTTTCGTTAGATCGCCCTGTATATGATAACGTAGTCAGATAATCTGTAGTGAACAGACACATCAAATAAACTTTTTTCTAAAATTGAGTCTGAACACTTGAGAATTCCTGTTACCATTCTCACACCTGTTAACAAATGTCAAGCATCTATTCTCGTCAAAACTTGAACAACTCCACAAAATTATTTGATTGAAAATGTATTAATCCCAATTCTGGATTACACTGTAATTCCTTCCTCACCTCTTTGGTGTCCTGCTGATGAGTGCCTCGAAAGCTTTGATGTAGTTAGGCACGCTGACCACAACAATTTCGTCGCTTTTAACTTGAGTGTCAGGAGCCAGAAGATTGTTCATGTATTCCATCCAAGGAATGCTCGGGAAAGTTTTCTGAAGTTCGTCAATAGTCATTGGATTATAGAGGGCGGTAGCGTTCCTGCGCTTTTCACTGGGTAAGGAAATCTGAAAGAGTCGAGTGAGAGTTATTGAAAGGGGATCAGATGAAAATGAAGTGAGTGAATATACAACTACGCTGTAGGAGATCATCATGAAAATTGAAAAAAAAATGAAACTTTCCATGTTTATATACTACCTACTTGCATTTGTAACTAACGTTACTGCAATTTCGTCCTACACGAACATTTTCAAACGAGTACAATAAACTATCTTTTATGTATTGTATTCGTTTGAAAACATCGTTATGGGACGAAACTGCTGTACGTTAATTGCAAATACAAGTAGTATAAAATTATAAAAAGTTATTCACTTCAATACTTTAGGGTCTTCTTCCAACAGGGACTTTCGACAATTGATAAAGGCCATCTTGTAGAAGCTACAAGTGTCAAATCAATTGTCATTTATTCAGTCTGTTTTTTAGCCAATCATTATGGGCGAATAAAGCATTCAACAATACGTGCAAATAACATAGATGTTATGTTTGGGCAACAAACCACGCGCTTCGCCCATTTTACGGTCGTCATAGTCATCCTACTGAGAGAACTATCCGCAATGTGGTTCAGTGAACGATCGACCAGCACCCGTTCGTCGACAAAACACAAGATCAGCTGAAAACACCGCCGCTGTCTGTGAGAGTGTGCAGTAGAATCCGAGGCAGTCGATTCCGCGTCGCTCATGAAAACTTAGCCTTTTGTAGATCACATCTTGGCAAATTTTGCGTCGTGATTTGGGTCTGCACCCATTCAAAATTCAACTGACCCAGGAACTGAAGGTGAACGACCATAGACAACGACATGTGTTCGCTGACTGGGCTCTGGTGTAGTTGCCAACTGAACTAAATCCTCAGCAAAAAATAATCTTCAGCGATGAGGCCCATTTCTGGATGAATGTGTACGTGAACAAACAAAGCCCTCAAGGAAAGATCCTATATGTTGTATATCAATAGTGATTATTCATGAAAGGTTATCTTTGTAGTGTATAGGAAATTAACTAGCGTGCTATTGAAAATTTTCATCAACTCCAATTTTCCAAACACGAGTATATGGGTACAAACTGTAGAGCATGCTGTGAAGCTGGAGGTTCTGGAAACTCTCGTTATTCAGGAGAGTACTGAGAGTAGTTTCTTTTGATGAAATTCCGTACATAAGGGTCAAATCTTCTTCATGAAGTGCATCCCCAACATGATTAGAAAATACATCTATTTTTCTGAAAGACTGAGTATGATCACTATTACCCGTGGGTTAGGCTACCTATCGGGCACGTCCCCAGGTGACAAATAGGGTAACGGCCAGGGGACTGGAGGCCCTGCCCGGGAAGCCAATGTGGCCTTACGGACGGGGACTTCTGGTCAGAAATAAGTAGAGTGAGGGGAACTCAAACCCCCCAAAAGCCCTGCAAACATGCCCCCGCGAACCAACCTACCCAAGCTAAACTGCAAGGAATCGTACCGACAGCTGAATGGCCGCAGAATGTTTTGCGATTACGAACGATCCCCTTGGGGAACCGGGCGAAACCTCATTGTAACTAGCCTTCCTCTGGTAATGCGGGGCTCTGCCAGAGGTGACCAACTCTTCTCGTGCTACTCATGGGAACACACATGGATACAGATGAACAAACAAAAATAAAAACAACCAATCTCGAGGCTGGACAGTAATACTCACCTCAATTCAGGGCAGGGGCTGGGGATGAACAGAAATGTTCACCCCAATTTACCGCTCAGAATGAGGCTGGCCAAGGCGTGAGCGTATTTGCGGCGTCGAGGCCAAGAGGAGAAAGAGAGCGGAAGAGGTAGGAATGGTAGCAACTACGAGTGCACCCTAATCCTCTTCCACTTCATCTCCAACAACAAGGGCACCTCTTGCGGTGGTCGCCAAGAGCTACGCCTTGAAAAAAGGCAAGGAACCGGCTGCCACTGCAGGAAAGCGCCCTCACGTGAGTACCTACACGGAGGGAACCCCAAGAAGACTGAAGAAGCTGCACGTTCCAAAACCTTCGTGGAGGCCGCCTTGAGACACCTCGAGGTAGCCATCATAGTTGATACTGACCCGTACGGTAAGGTTACCGCAGAACGAGAGAGTCCTATCAAAAAACAACTGCTGAAGTAGCTGGACAAGATCATTTTTTCCGCCCCCAGCAACAACAGCAAACCGCCCACGTTCAAGTCGTGGACATACTCCGGTGAAATCATCAGAGGGGTCTGCGATAACGACGTGACGCTAGAGTGGCCAACAATGAATATCAAGCCGTGGGAGGAGGCATCACTTGCGGTCGTCAGTGCGGATAAGCTCCCAAAGCTCACCAAAGCCTCACTCTGGATCCCGGGGGACGTCCACAAGACGACATCCGGTGAAAAGGAGGTTCTGCGCCTTCACCCGACCCAGCACCCTGACCTGACAGTAGCAAGATGGTGCACTTTCCACCATAAAGTTAAGATGAACCCACAAGGACACCTCTTCGTCTTCGGGATCGGAGACAATTATATGGCTGTCCTAAAGAAGAAGTCGATGAGGATAAGCTACGCGTTTACCTCACTGACAATTAGGGTAACAAGGAAAGAAGCAGAAAGTACCTCTGGAGACCCTAGGTCCTTGGAAGTCGAGCTACCTAAAGTTGATATTGACCCCAAGGCCACCATGGGTCCCAAAAAGAAAATCGAAGCATCTGAACAGATGACAGTAGATGACGTGACGGAGGAGGCACCCAACAGCGAGGACGCCTCCCCTATAGTGCAGGTGCAGATGTTTCATGTGCAAGGACGTTGAAAGAAGGATAACAATAATACAATGATCAGTATTAGAGTCATCTATGATATAGTCGAAGTACAAAGAGAAAGTCGAATTCAAAAATATTTGTTAAGCAAATACAAATATACAAAGAAAACAAAGGAAGTCCTTTAATTTTTCACAACAATATTCAGATTTTTACTATCTCTAACGCGATTTGGCGTTAAATTGCCTCAAACTTCAACAACCGGACCCACAAGTCGTTGATTTTGTTCTAGCAAACTGTATGGAAAAATGTTGTTTCGTGATGAAGAGTGTTATTCACCAACACAGATCACTTGATTCCCATTTTCAAAAACATACAAGCATATTCCGTAGACATACAGAGTAACAACAACATTTCATATTTTTTGAAACGCTGCGCACTGGCAACAAGATGTCATTTTTGAGAGACCAGTAATACATAATTTTTTGCACTTTCAATATTTCTGGAGTAGAAGTAGTAACTTCATATAGGCATATATCATATCATAGTCTTGATTCGACCTGAGCAAAGTATGAATTTATTTTTCAATGACATTCGAAATAAATTTCTGATTATGAAACAGATATGTTACAAAGTTCAACTGAAAGATGATTCCAGAGCAATGACGTTCCTAATCAAGATGCTTATCCAGAGGCTCCTGAAAGTATGAGACACTGTTTACAAAAATATGCTGCAATAGTAATTCAATAGAGAATGGAAGTCAAGATGAATGAAATAATTTTGTTTTTATATTGTCAACCAGATATTTGAAAATAGCGGGAGTCTGAAAGAAGGTACCACAAACACTTTTGTTAGATTTATACGCAACTCTCAACAACTCAACCTGGGAGAAACTATAAATGAATAATATGAACACAAGTCGAGTTAACAATATCAAAAAATTTCAGTTATTGCTTTACTTTAGAAAATTCATTTTAGAAATGCCAAGGTCGGGAACGGGCAAGAGGCTAATGAGATAAATAAGTCTTCAGTCTTTTTTTGAATATTTGGGTGCATTTCACGAGAAGCAGCGGGTGAAGATGGAAGATTTGTGTTGGGGACGACTAGAACTGAACTGTTCCTTGTAGTAAAGCTGTTAATCGTAGAGAATGTTTTAAGCTTCTTCAGTAAGTAATCAGGTTGTCGAGTTATCAAACTGTATGTGTGTTGGTAAGAAGGTGTAGAGTTCTAAGTTTCTCAACATTTAACCATCCTGATTCTTGCATTGCTGGGGATATATGGTCCTATTTCCGAATACCAAACGAGAAACGTAGACAGCTATTCTGAATACGCTGTAGTCGGAGAGCATCGGATTGTTTTGAAGCAGGTCCATAAATACTGTCGCAATAGGAAATTTTTGACATTATCAGAGACTCGCATAGTCTAAATTTGAAGTTTGTGTTGAGCAAATCACGATTAGGAAAAAGCTGTCTGAGAACGTTATAAGAAGATTGGTTCAGATTGCTGACATGTTTAGTAAAGCTGAGATCCAGATCAAATCATAATCCTAAATTTTTTATCTCGTCCACGGAGGGAAAAGTATATCGTTTTCGATGCGAACTTGAAAGGTAGAGTTGGTGAGCTCTCTGTCCTTCTTAGCTCCGAACATCATTATTGTGGAATTGTCTGAATTGAGTTTGAGCTTATGGGCAGTAGAAATGTCAAAGATGGCTTGGAGATCGTTATTAATATGCGACAGAGCAGATGTGGACTCGCCAGGCGAAAAAGAGGAATATAATTGAGTCTTGTGATGTATATTACATTCTTTCACTGACAGATTAAAGTCACAAATATACAAGCTAAAAAGCAAGGGCCCAAGGATAGATCCTTGTGGCACTCCTTTCAATACCGACAGAGCATCTGAAACAACAACTCTTTGGGTACGATTCTTCAGATAGATTTTTAAGAGAGACACTGCTTTCCGAGTTTGTCACAGAATATCTCATGATCTGAAGTGTCATATGCCTAACTGTAATCTAGAAGTATTAAACAGATAAAATTTTGTTCAGCTTGGAAAATATCGTCAGTAATTGACAGAGGAGCCGTGGTGGTACTATGCTGAGGTCTGAATCCTGATTGTACAGATGTTATGATATGATTTTCATTGACGTACTCATTAATCTGATTTTTCAGAATCGATTCCACTACTTTAGAGAGATACGGTAGAATTGTGATTGGTCTTAGGTCAGAAAGGACAGTAGGTGAGTTACACTCAGCCAGAGGGATAACCAATCCATCCTTCCAACATTTTGGAAATTGGCAACTGGTAATGATAAAGTTCATGAGAAAAGTGAAGTGATTTATCAAAAAAGAGTCAATAAGATTGATCATTTTGAGGAATATCCCGTCAGAACCCAAAGCGTTGCTCTTGATGCGTCTTAGGGAACTTCGCACAATCTCACAGGTGACTGAGTTGAAGTGAAAGGAGTTTTCAGTTTCTTCCGAGTTAACATATCGATCTAATGAGAACAATTGGTGAGCAGATCTGATTGACGTCTTTCAATTCATCAGATATATCTGATTTTTTGTTGTTCTTAAGGTATTCGTTCTTAAGGTATTCCAATTTTCATTTCTCAAAACAAAGTCCAGATATGCTTTTTTCTCACGTCGTATCGCACTACATGTATAATTTCTGAGGTCCTTATAGCTATTTCAATCGGCGATAGATGAAGATTTCTTGTATTCACTCAGAGCTCGGTTTTTGAGTGCAATCATAATTTTTATATTGTAAGTTGACCAAGGTGCTGGAGGTTCAGTAACTCTCTTCATTTGAGAAGGGGCGTATTTTTTGAAAAGATTAAGAATTTTGTCGTTGAGGAAGGAGACCATATCAGATTGATAGATGAGATCCCACTGAATATTCAGGACGTCTAAACGGAATAGATTGAAGTCGAAGTTACGATAATTGCGAAAAGAAACCAGTTTAACTCTTCTAGAAGAAACAGAAATATTAATTTTGCACATCACTGACAGATGGTCTGAAATTCCCTGAATATCATACACATCCACATCTATTATTCTTTCCTCTTATATAGACAAGGACGATGTCAATGAGGGATTGAGAGTGAGTAGGCTTCTCTATAAGCTAATAAAGATCGAACGAATTTATGGAATCTGTAAGGAGTTGAGTTGAGTATACTGTTCAGAAAAATGACTATTGATGTATTCCGATTTCGGAAACGGAGCCTGAAAATCAGCTATCAAGCCCAAGGCAGCAGGCGCGCAAAGGAAGGTTACAAATAAGGCAGCAGGCGCGCGTGTTGATAAAAAAATTACTTTTTTCAAATGAATAAATTCATGTGAAGTGAGTTCGAATTTTATCAAGGATGTTACGTACAGCGTCATCTGCCTGCGAATAAATCAAGCAATAATGTCGATATGTCAAGGAGATTACGTACAGCGCTATCTGCCCTCGAGTAGATCAAGCAATAAAGTAGATAATTTCGTCATATACAGATCCCGATATGAAATGAAAAGGAGAGTTACAAACAAACATACATACTTACAGGTGAAGCTTAAGCGTGTTATAAAGAAATATTGTGAAATGATGATTTTATTGTGTTCAACATCATTGAAACGCAGTATACTCTCTTCAACAGAAATGCAAAAAGATGTATGCTTTGAAATGCTGGTTATCTGCTTCATACAGCGTACTGTTATCTGCAGAGTTGTATTTTGCGGGAAATAATAATAATAAGAGGAAAAATGGAAATATAAAAATACTGAAGCGGAAAATTATTTTGATGAATACTATTGCAGGGGATTAGCTAAGAAATTTACTCGATTCGAGTATGACGAAAAGATTAAGAATTTTGTCGTTGAGGAAGGAGACCATATCAGATTGATAGATGAGATCCCACTGAATATTCAGGATGTCTAAACGGAATAGATTGAAGTCGAAGTTACGATAATTGCGAAAAGAAACCATTTTAACTCTTCTAGAAGAAAGAGAAATATCAATTTTGCACATCACTGACAGATGATCTGAAATTCCCTGAATATCATACACATCCACATCTATATTCTTTCCTTATCAGAGACAAGGACGATGTCAATGAGGGATTGAGAGTGAGCAGTTATTCGAGTAGGCTTCTCTATAAGGTGATAAAGATCGAACGAATTTATAAAATCTGTAAGGAGTTGAGTTGAGTATACTGTTTAGAAAAATGACCATTGATGTTTTCCGATTCCGGAGAGGGAGCTTGAAAATCGGTTACCCAGCCCAAGGCAGCAGTCGCGCAAAGGAGGGTTACAAATAAGGCAGCAGGCGCGCGTGTTGATAAAAAAAATTACTTTTTTCAAATGAATAAATTCATGTGAAGTGAGTTCGAATTTTATCAAGGATGTTACGTACAGCGTCATCTGCCTGCGAATGAATCAAGCAATAATGTCGATATATCAAGGAGGTTACGTACAGCGCCATCTGCCCGCGAGTAGATCAAGCAATAAAGTATATAATTTCGTCAAATACAGATCCCGATATGAAATGAAAAGGAGAGTTACAAACAAACATACATACTTACAGGTGAAGCTTAAGCGTGTTATAAAGAAATATTGTGAAATGATGATATGGTGATTTTATTTCATACGCATCACTCACACCAAATATATAGTTCATACTCACGTTTGCTAATTTTATTTCGAATTCCAGAGATTCCCTGAGTTCTTTGATGGCTCTATCTCGATCTCCTCCAAACAACACTGCCAAGTCTACCATGTAATCGTAGTATGCTTGAACAATTTTATCACTCAACCCTTTGGTGAGAAATTCCCTTCGAAGTCCTAGTGACGCTTGGTCCAACTGGAAAATAAAGCGTTGATGAAGAAAGATACTGATGAGTTGTGATACAAAAGGCATTATCGAAAACAAAAATAGGTGAGTATGACATATTTTTTTTACTTTCATCGTTCATATCATATTCATTTTTTTATTCAAAATTTACCTAGAGTTTCGAATGAAAACATTTGATTTCGTTGCAGACTGGACAACTCTTTTATGAAACACTTGTAGATTGTAAATTGCAATTGATATCAAGTCTTTCCAATTATTGTCATTAGCTAAAAATTAAAAATAGTGCATTCCACAGTCGACTGCCGATTCAACGAATGACATGAGTGCACCTCGTTTCTAGAACCATGGAAATTGTTTTCTGATGAGATAATTCAATTGAAATATCAATATCAATTCCTGAGTGTCTACAAAATTATTCACACAATAAAAACTCACATCAATGATCCTCCTTGTTGAGTCCTTCACGTCAACCCCGACAGAGAAATCCATGAAGTAATCCACGCTATACCCCACTTTCCTGAACTTGTACACCGATTTCCTCCAATCGAAATCCCCGTCGATCCACCGATCACCCTCTAGCACTGGCCACCCTCCCAACTCCTTTAAAATCTCATTAATGGTTGTCAAACCATCCTTTTCAATTAGTGTCTTGTTCATGCACGCCCTGTAGAGCTTCTTGGTTAGCTGGAAAGGCTTGGGCTCATGAGGGTTGATGGGCTCTTCTATCAAAGTCTTCAGCTGCTCCTGTAGCACGTCGCTGATGATGCTGAATGACGTCACCGATGACTTGTCGTCGGGGATGTTGGTTTTCTTGAGGAAGTTGCCACAGGTGAACTCGTAGAAGTCATCGCAGGGGTCAACTGAGGGGTCCATGTACTCTAGGACGCGGGAAGCTGTGTGGATGCAACCTGGGGAAAGGCATATTTTCTCCCGCTCCTTGCTGTTGATGGAGTTCACGTAGAAGGTTTTGCCTTGAAGAGCTTCTGCACTTATGTGATTATCTGGAAGAATATAATACGATGGATGGAAATGTTTGCGAGTTTTCTGATAAGTATCAACAATGGAGTGTACAACTAATAGAGAAACAGGTTGATCTGTTGATCGTTAGTATTTCTACCCAATTCCTTACCAAAGAAATACAAGATTCGAATTCGAATTCACGAATATGTTTGACAGAGAAAGAAAACTATGATAGTTTGTGAGAGTACCAAAAAAAGCAGGGATATTTGTCAAGAAACCAAGGTCTTTGGTTGATTCCCCACCATACATTAGAATAACGGGATTGGAATTGAACAATCAGCCAAAAAAAACCTATATATTCTGATGGAGTGACATAATAGAAATATATCACTGAATAACAGGCAGCGAGACAAATATGCGAATAAAGTGACGTTGTTTGGGTGACTGAAAAGAGCAGAATACGATCATACAAAAAAGTACTTTGAGCTGCTTCCTTGGACTCTGAAGGTGCAGTGAATGAAATTGTTTCAAAATAAATTGTAATAGGGACTGCTGCAGATAATTGAATGGTATGCTCAGGGATAGTTTCTATGATAGGAACTGTAATGACATGTGAAAACAACGGGATTTTCGCAGGAAGAATACTCATACTTTCACGGAACCTTTTGTGATGAGGCTGCTACGTTTTCTTGGCCGAAATAATTATTGAATTTGACCAAATGATGTTGAATCAAATTATGGGTATTCAAAATCAACACCCCCATCAAGAAATTCACCACGAGAATCAAGAGAGAAGAAATGGGATATATATCGTACCTGAACCAACAACTAACTAGGATGGATAGAAGAAAGATGAAGAAGACACTGATGAAAGGCTTAATAAATAACTCAGCTGGAGAATTCCTCTGAAGAATCTAGATCCACGACAAAAATCAAAATTGTATTCCATCTATGATACTGATGCTGGTAGGTTCAACCCCAGCCATCTAACGGAGTAGTATTACTGAGAAAGGTAAACTGTGCGTTCACTAAATCGATAGAAAATTCGCATTTCATCATACTTGGAAATAATCTGAATACCCAAGTCACCAAAGTGGTTCCTTATTGAATTGGACATATTGTTTCCTATTCAATGTTTGATAAAATGAAAGATATACTGAGAAGGCAAGAGAGAAAATTGGAAAAAGAACCGAATTTTGCCATAAACCTAGCTTGATTAATATTGTAGCGCCCTAGCTCTCCAACCTGGATTGAAGCACAATGAATAGAATAGAATAGAATTATTCGACAGGTGTTCGAGAAACGCTCATAGGTTCGAAGAATTTTTCAATTCAGACTTTCAGCCATATTTGTTTGTGATTTCTTTAAATGCTTCCCTTGATTGATGTCATGATCATCTAATTGAATGATCTATTCATATAAACAATCATATCAAGTGAAAATGATTCAAATACCCAAAGGTGGTAGATCTGAAGGGATACTATTACAAATTCGTAACGAAACTAATAAAAATTCTAACTTCAATAGCAGCTGCAGCGTGGTAAATGTGGGGGTAATGTGCAGTTGGTTGACTGTACGAATTGCTTGAAGTAGTACAAAGCAGCTCACAGGAGACACATGCCATAAACCTACACTAAAACAGATCCAATCATCGAAACAATAGAGAAACAATAAAGTTACTGCAAATAACATCATGGAAATTCCAACGACTGTTCAATGATTTGGAGTAAAATCTATATCAGAAGTTCCACAAAACGACAACTGAAGAAAATAAGAGAATGGTTTTCCCTTCAATTTTCTCTTCACGCAGTTTCTCAAAAGCTGATATATTATCAGCTGCTTCAGTGCCATTTGTCAATGCATAAAATATCTTATTCAACAGTACCCTAAGCCATTTCGTCAGAACTCATCAAACCTATATAGTTGGATTGTTATTTTAATTACTAGATCATGGAGTGTACGTACTCCAGATCACTGAGCCTAAGTATCAAGTGGAAAATGGGAAAAATACCAGCGTGGTTCAAACAGAACTAGCTGGTATCTCAATCGCCACAACAGAAATTACTAGAAAAGGAATTTCTGGCAAAAACATAACAATCTGAACTGATAGCAGACAAGCCCTAATACCCTTGAACAGACAACGTGTTCAGGGTTAGTACTAGAGTACCACCAAGATTCAGCCAAAGCCTCGGTAGATAATAATATACTGAGGTGAGTCAACGGGAACGACAGGAGTGAAGGTAATTGCATTGCCGACTCTTTAGCCAAAGAAGCAGCTGGACTAAGAATTTTAGGACCCAGTGGCACCTACGGCCTGATGCCTTCGGCAATTGTGAAACTAGCCAAACATCACAACCATGCTCAATCCCTTAATAGATGGGATGGAATCAAAGGAAGCAATCTTGCCAGGATCACCCTGGGCGACTCTGGGAACATGGCGCCGAAGAAATATCTGGCGATGACCAACAAAAATCTATGCTCTACAGTAGGATTTCTGACTGGCCAGGGTGTGTGAACAGGTAGATGAAACTGTCAAGCATGTTCTGTGCGAGTGTCCAGAGTTACGTCAATGAGAGAGTGTGTGTTCGGCGAGTCTTGGCCTACATCTGCCGATATTAAGGGGATGTCTCCCAGTGACCTGTCCACCTTCCTGGAGAGGGCAAGTTGAACGGTGACTTAGGAGGACAACTCCTCGAGAGAATGTACAATGGGTCACATATGGTCTACACTCACCCTCCCTATTCTACAAATACAGAGGGTGGTAAGATAATAGCTCCTTCACCATGGAACCTCGAAACAAATAACGAAAGCCGACAATTCTTGTACATTATTCATACTCAATATCATTTTTTTCTACCCAAGGTATACGGTGTTAGGACTCAATGATCACTCACAGTAATGTGAGGAAAGTTATCCTCGTTGATATGATGCAAAAGCTTTGGCTCAAGGGCCTGACTGGCAAATTTGCTTCGGAGAAACCCTTATACTGTTCAATCGCTGCAACACTCTGTAGGCTTCAGAGGACCTCGAGGCGAGTCATTCGCAAAACAAGATATCGAATTGAAATCATACCGCTTATGATATTAGAAAGTCGGTCAGTGACTCGAATAATTGTTTTCAATGGTTCTTGAGAATAATTTATGGTTGACGGCCTGGCGAAATGTGATTATTATTCATAGCATAGTAGTACTTTTCAATCAATGCCGAGAATTGTGCTGAATATAAATGTATGAAATGCGATTTTTCCATATTATGTCGATGTATAATGGCAAGTTTATATATTACTCTTGGTACTATCAGATCAGTATAAAGGTCATAGTCTAAACTGGGTAACCCACACCTGTGGAATATTCATCAAAACGCAAATGATCTTCTTGACAATGACCTCTTTGTGAGGTGAATGTTTTATTCAATATTCTCACTAGAGAAATAACAACAGTGGTTCAATAAAATATTGGTAATATCACCGTATAGAAGTTTACTTCCAGTATACGATGGTAGGTAATATGGTTTTTTTTTGTGAAACGTCTGTAGATAGGTCAATACAGTTCTGAATAATTACGTTCATAATGGGATGATCTATGATCAACAGACACGTATTTATGTGTTGAGGAATGACGAAACTATTGTTTTAATTTTCTGCTATATTGATAGAGTAAGTAGACGCAATCGAATCAAAAAGTTACAAAAAATCGGCGATGCGACGTCTGTCAACGGGATCAAAATCAAGAGAACATAATTGACATGTAACTTTTTATCAAAGAGTTACGTAGAGTCAATTTGATAGATAATTTTCGAATAATCATGTCTGAAAAAATGTTTCTTTTGCCTGTCGACATCAAGCGAGACAAGCTCAATGTACTTTCTTTCAACTTGAACTATAAATTGTATTAACATTGTGGAAAATGAAATCATACAATGTTTTAAAAACAAGGGATAGAAATATGCTCCAATCTAGCACAAAATAGTTGACTTGACATTTCCTTATACCGAATGCTAACCAAATCATACAAAGATATTCGGAACTTTAGTCATAGCGCAGATTACCAAATCGCAACTGAAACTAATTTCATGAACGTGTTCATGGAGCTTATAATTGACAAAATGACGCTGATGATCAATTATAAAAATCACCTCGAATGAGATGTTTTTCAATGTTTCAAAAACAATGGATAGAAGAAATATGACCCAATCTAGCACAAAATAGTGGACTTAACATTTCTTCATACCGAATGCTAACCAAATCATACAAAGATATTCATTCATCAACTCCAATTTTCCAAACACGAGTATATGGGTACAAACTGTAGAGCATGCTGTGAAGCTGGAGGTTCTGGAAACTCTCGTTATTCAGGAAAGTACTGAGAGTAGTTTCTTTTGAAGAAATTCCGTGCATAAGGGTCAAATCTTCTTCATGAAGTGCACCCCCAACATGATTAAAAAATACATCTATTTTTCTGAAAGACTGAGTATGATCACTATTACCCATGGGTTAGGCTACCTATCGGACACGTCCCCAGGTGACGAATAGGGGTACGGCCAGGGGACTGAATGACATTCGAAATGAATTTCTGATTATGAAACAGATATGTTACAAAGTTCAACTCAAAGATGATTCCAGAGCAATGGAGTTCCTAATCAAGATGCTTATCCAGAGGCTTCTGAAACACTGTTCACAAAAATATGCTGCAATAGTAATTCAATAGAGAATGGAAGTCAAGATGAATGAAATATTTTTGTTTTTATATTGTCAACCAGATATTTGAAAATAGCGGGAGTCTGAAAGAAGGTACCACAAACACTTTTGTTAGATTTATACGCAACTCTCA